TTATGAAAACCAAGATATTAAATTTGTGCAGCCTAATGATTAAAATTTTTAAATTTTTTTTGAAATATAGAATTTATAAGTTAGGGTTAAAGATGTGTAAATAACAGAGGTTATTTAAAGAGCAGCTGGTGTGGCTTTGTATATAACTTTGTGTAATCTTGTATAACTAAAAGTTTAGGTATATGTGGCAAGTATGGCTGGTATGGCTGGTATAACTTGGTATAACCAAGTGTAATAGTGTAACTTGTGTATCGATAAAATAAAGTTTGTATAAATTTACTAAAACTAAAATAGTAAAATTAAAATTTGTATAAAAATAAATGAAACAAATATTGGGGTTGTATAAATTAATTAGTAATATTGATTAGTAATGTGAATTTGCAGATCTTGGATGTCCTAGGGAGACAGTAATCCCCAAAAAATAGAAAAAATTTTTGTAAAAACTAGATATAGTTTTTATAATGGAGTTTAAAAGTTTTTGATTGTATTTTTGTCAATTTTAGCCAGTTTTTAGTATATTATATATCAAAATGAAGCTATTGATAAGCTAAATCTTTTTGTATTAAAGAGCATTGAATATTGACTTAATAGAATTTTGAGTTTTGGCCAGTTGAAGTAAAAATTAAAAAATTAGTTATAATTTTGTAGAGAAGGGCTTTAGAAGTTTAAAGCTAGGCTATCTATATATAAAATTTACTGTAGAACAGTTTTACATAGACAGCCAAAGTAAGTTTACTTAGTAAAATTTAGAGAATAGAGTGATTATTTTTAGAGAAAATTTGGTACAAATGATCGTCAGAAAGAGTTAGTATTTTATAAAAATTAGATTTTTTTGATTAAAATTAATATAGTAATTTGATTTATATATACTGTAAATAAAATAGTATTATAATATTAAAAAAATTAGTAGATAAATAACTTTCAGAAAATTAAGCAATAATACTTATTTTTATACAAGCTTTAGCTTTAAAATCTATTATATCTTTTTTAGTAAAACAAATCAAAAAATATTATAAAAATAAAAAACTACAAAAACTAAATAAAAAACTAGTATTTATCTTTTATACTAGTCTTAGCTTTAAAATTTCTATTATATTTTTTTTTAATAATGCACAAATTTAAAAAATAAGAATAAAAAAATAAAAAATTGCTATTTCTACTTCCTATTTTTGCTAATACCACCCCCAGATATCAAAAGATGCTTCGAAAGAGGTATTGTTATTAAGCAAACCTTTTTTTGGTCTTAATTAAAGTTATTCATCAGGTTTTCTAGTTCTAATGATTATAAAGTCATTAAAATCAGACTGATAGCTTTTTTTAAATATAAATAAAAGTAAACTAATTTAAATACAAATATCTTAGAAACTACTAGTCCAATTTTAATGATTTTACTATTATTAAAACTAGAAAGACCTAATAAACAACTTTATTAAGACCAAAAAGAAGGTTTTCTTAATAACAATACCTCTTTTGGAGCACTTTTTTAAATTTTAGGGGGTGGCATTAGCAAAAATGGGGTGGAAATAGCAATTTCCAAAAAATACAGTATTAGTAAAAATACATTTTTTAAATATAATAATTTTTCATCCTGTTTTACTTTCTAAATTATTATAATCTAATAAACTAAAAGGTTTTATTTTTCAACAATATATAATATTTTTTTTAACAATATAGGTTATAATATTATCCAGCGTTTGCATTTTAGTGCTCTGCTAATCTTGCCTACTCTAATCTAGTCCACTAGAAATATTTTTACTATTATATATAGGGAAATTCTATTTTCACCCGGGTTAAAGTCACCCGATATATAATTTCCATTATATTATATAATACAAACTACTATAACCAACTAAAAATTCTATAGATTGGTTAGTTAGAGGTTAGGGTAGATGAATTTTACGATATTGTATGAATTTATATTATAAAGTACAATAAAAATTATATATCGGGTGACTTTAACCCGGGTGAAAATAGAATTTCCGTTGTATATATATTTAATTTAATAATATACTGCATAGTTTAACAGAAAATTTAAATGCATCTATGGGTTCAACATCCTATATACAATTATTATTATTATTATTATAATTAAGTCAAGCATGGTTTAAAGAAAAAAGATTTTTAGAGCACTAATAGTCATTTTTTGAGAAATGGTCAACACGTATAGTACATTCTAGTAAGCATAAATTACTATTCATATATAAATCCGCATATTAATAAACGCATTAATGTGTCAACGATAGCTTCTCATATTCCTGCTTAGCAATTTCTATTAATTCTGCAAATTCACCACTTTTTTCACACATTCCTCTAAACCATCCATCAGGCTTCTGCATCAATAAGTATGGAATATCGAATTCCACTACATTTCCAGCATCTAAGTTTGGAGAGAAAGAATTAATGGTTTAAATTATTCAAAATTTTCTTTGAAAAAAATACATACCCATAACCAGAATTCTATCATAATCTACGATAGTTCGCAACCTATGCGCAATAGTGATAATAGTACTATCCTTAAACTCTTCCCTAATTGTAGTCTGTATTAGATGATCAGTTTTGAAATCTATACTCGCAGTAGCTTCATCCATTATTATCAGCTTTGAATTACGAACTAGTGCTCTAGCCGTTGCAATCAGTTGTTGTTGACCTTGGGAAAAATTTGATCCATTTTCTTCGACAAGTGGTTCAAGCGTTATTGGTTCTTGCTTATTATTTTTTTGGTCCGAAGTAGAATGGATAACCTTTGATTCTTCTGGTTCTTTTTTTTCAGAAGTAGAGTTTGAATTTTTAATTAAGTGTACACGACGAAGAGCATTCCACAACTTGAGATCACTATGCTCGTTGAATGGATCCAAGTTACTTCTATTTTTTTTTTAAAAGGAATTCAATAATCAGTCTGCAAAAAGGATTTGATAATAAATATATATAGAATCGAGATTTTTGTCTACCTTATAGTACCATTAAATAGTATGGGATCTTGAGGTATAATAGTAATATTACTTCTAAGGTCTTTTAATCCAATAGTATTGATATCAACATCGTCAATTACAATACTTCCAGAAGTTGCTTCAATAAATCTAAAGAACGACATTGCCAACGTTGATTTTCCACATCCTATTTAAGAAAGTTAATATTAAAATCTCGATAATTCTCAAACTGAGTCCAAAATTTACCAGTTCGGCCAACAATTCCAATCTTTTCACCAGCCATAATATCAACTGAGATGCCTTTCAAAACTAGAGGGCTATCAAGTCCATATTTAATTTCCAAATTTTTAATGTGAATTTCTCCACGAGATGGCCATCCAGGCGGTGGTCTGTTGTCCGGTACTATATTCTCTGCTTCTACTTCTAGCTTATCACTGTAGTAAATTAAACGTTCCACTGAGTTCATATTTGCTTCCTATTATTAGGAAATTAAAAATTAGTAATCCAAAATTGGGCTTTATAATTTATCGCTATAGCGATGTATCGCCACCCGGGTCCAAGTTATACATGTGGTCGAAATGTTTCGGCCATTACGACCACTCGGCAAATGTTCAAAGCAAAGTTATCAATAATTTGTAAATATGATAGAAATTAGGCTCATAT